GGGGCCCGGCGCGCTGGCGGCCTGTGGGGCTGCGGGCTTCGGGAGCGGTCACTCCTGATCCTCGGATCGGATCGGATCGGATTGGGTCAAATGGGGCGACAGCTTCCCAGGGAGTTGTGGTCAAGTGCAGCGCTGGGGGAGAATTCAGCAGTGGGGCTCCTAGGTCTGTGCTGGCCTGCAGGTACAGGACCTTTCCGACTCGTTCACTTCGTTTAATGAAACACAGTCTGAGAGTCTTGGCTGTGGCGAAGCTGACTTCAGGCGTTGAGCATTGGGTCGGTCTTAAAGCTAAGAAAGGCTTGTGAGTTTTGGAATTGCAAGTGCTGAGCGTCCTGTTGAATCTCCACGAATTCCTCCTGTCTGTCATTTAAAGCCTCAGTTTGGGTTCCTTGTAGTACCGGGTCGCTATGCCCCAAATCACTCTTTAACTTATCAGAATGTGTATCAGTGTACTCTAAAGCCTCGGCTGTCAAGGCTTATGCAATCAACCTGTTAATTTATAATCTTGTTACATTGCTTTCCAGATTTATAAAATCGTCCCCTTAAGGAAATCTGTCTTCAACGTCTGCTTAAATATTTCTCTTGGAATTGGATTCCTGAAGAGGAATATACTGTACAAGTAGTGATTAAGATGTACTAATTAGACAACGTTGCCTTTTTTTTAAGAACACAAGTACATATTGATTCTTTTATCCAGCTGATTGTCCCTGTGAAGAAAACAGGTGACATTCCCACTTTACAGAGCTAGAGATGAGAGAAATTACATGACATTCCCAAGGTCATGTAGTGAAACAGTGTAGAAAATCCAAAGTGAGGTGCTAACTTTTCTTGCAACTCCCCTGCCTGCATTACTTTCAGAACAGGAAACTTTGAGTGTCGTCTTCTGATTTTTTAAGTTTGCATAATTTATTTCATTTTGTAAACAAAACTTATTCTCACCCTAATAATTTTTCTTGTTTTAAAATTTTCTGTATAATTGCAGTTATTTTCATTAGTTTAAAACTTGCTAAAACTAAAGTTGTACTACTTTTTATTTTTACTTTTCCAGACCAAAATACAAATTGGACTCTTATGGTTCGGAATTAAGCTTTTATCAGATTTCTTTAAAAGTTCTTAAATTTCTTTCAATGTTCTTAGTAAAATTGAAGGTAGTCATAATATTTTTACTGTTCACGGGAAATAGTGTCCACCTAAACTTTACTGAGGGTACTTCTTTCCTATCGAAAGTGAAACCAAATAGAAAAAAGTTATTTTTGGAGATAGTGAGTAGCCATGGTCCAGAGCACTGGTATAAATAAAGCTTGGTTTCTGCTGTGGTGATTGATCCTGGGAGCTTGACACTGCCTAAGAGGAGGGTGCAGAGAAACTTTGCACATGGCCAGAATTTTAGGTGTTCAAAACAGATGAGGAACTCTGAAGACTTAACAGCATCTCTGCTGTTTGTGTTTTGGGATTTTTGCAGCCAGGATGCTTTTGCGAGAAAATTATTATTCTGAATATAAGTGCTTCCTAGTGTCCAGTGTGTGCAGGTGGCTTCGTAGGGCAACCTGGGTTGAAAAGGTGAGTTGATTCTAGGAGGTTTAAATATAAACTTAACCTGTGGTTATTGTTCACGGAACCTTTGTGTAATTTGGGGGGACCTGGGTTAGAGGACACAGTAGAAAAGTGAGTAACAGCTGCTTCCTGCTTTTGGGAGCTCAGGAGCTGTTGGGGAACACTGAGGTAAACCACAACAATAGAAGCCCGAGTGCCGAGGAAAGACGTGTGGAAGTAGGTTCTGAGAGCAGCCTGGCGTGAGGCTGAACTGACCTTGGAGAGCAGGTTGGGTTTCCAGACAGGGAAAAGCTTTTGGGGTTAAGGTGGGGATAAAGAGGTCGAGGTGCAGGAAAACAACTCAGATCTGAGTGGGTGAAAGGACATTGAGGTGGAGACGATGAAGCTGTTCTCTAAAGCGTTTGCCAAGGAGGGATAGGAATGGGGTGCTCGCTCTCTCTGGGTGAAGGGGAGGGTTTGGTTTTGATTGGGAAGAGCTGGTGTCAAATCCCTCACACTTAGTGGTCTCTGGAGGGATCGCCATGAGTGAGTTGTCGTTCTGGATGAGCTGGAACTGAGTTGTTCACAAGACGAAGATCATTTCTGCACCTGCTTTTCTGCACATGTGCCTTGGGTGGTGGCCTTGCCTTGCTTGGGAAACCATTAGTCGCCGTCAGTGGAGAAGGAGCCTGTCCCAAGAATGTCCCTGGCCTTCCCTCCCTGCACACTTGTCTCTCTGTTGCCCCCTTCAGAGCCTCTCGAGAACCTTCCTGGGCAGTGCCAGCGCCAGCCTCTGCTCAGGTTGGCTCCTCTGTCACCAGTCGGGCCTCTGCCCGCCCTTGTGCTGTGCTCTCCCGTCTGCCGTGGTGTGAGTGCGCCAAGGCCCTCAGAGTCCGAGCCCATCATCCACCTGTGGGACGTGGTGCTGGAGTCCTGAAGCGTCTCCAGGCACAGAGCAAGCTGGGCCTTTCTGTGCACCTCTCAGATGCTTAGGTCAAATTCCTGGCCCTTTAGTGTAGTTACAAAGCCAGTGCTTCAGAAGAGCAGCCAGATTATAGCCTCCCTGGGCCTGCATCTCTCACCTGTGGACAGGCAGTTAGCCCTCTTCGTCAGACCCAAAGGACTGGCAGCTGCTCGGAGGCCAAGACCACTTCCTATCTCTCGTGCACCTGCACTGTAACGCCTGACAGGGTCTGCGCGGTGAAGTGTCTCAGTGAAGAAACTTTAAAATGCAAATCTTGGTTTGTTTTTATGAGTCTGTTAATAGAGCCACACCCATTTTGATACAGCTAGGTTGGGTTTGAAGTTTTAAATTTAGAGTTTCAGAGCTAGAAGCAAACCTGCTGTATTCTAGCACTGCGTAGAGGCTCAGGAAGCGCTTGCTCCCATCCTGTCTTCCCAGTCAGAGAATGGCACACCAGCTGCTGTGCTCTCCGCTAGGGTTTGTTAGATGCCCTCCTTCCGCTGGCGCCCTGGGCACTGCGCATTTGGATCCTGATTTTGCAGTGGTCTCATCGGCTCCCTCTTCGCTGGTATTGAGATGCTAGCTGCCCTCCCTTGTGAGCTGCTGAGTCATGGTTCACCTGGAGACGTCTCCAGCAGTGAGTTCCCTTACCTGTTTCCAGCTCTGGTCCTGCCCTTCCAAAGTGATCTGTTAAACTGTCATCCCTGTCTGCTCTCCCCTGCTCAGGGCTCTTCTGTGGCGCCGGACGCTGGGCTCCCTTTGTTCTTTGAACAGCACATGTCTGTTTCTGGTGGATACTCTGTTGGGAGGCCCTGGAATGGAGCTGAGTAAAGTGGACATGGCCTCGCGGGCACTGACCCTGCCATTTGATCTGGTGGAGGAGCAGGTTATCAGCCACATCCATAGTTGCACAATAATTACAGGACTCTGCACTTGTCATCACGATGGCTTGGTGCCATAAATGGGTGCAGGAAGTTGCTGCAGGCAGGGAAGTAGAGAGGGCCTGGGATGATCAAGATGGTGGCCTTTAAGTTGGGCCTTAAAACATGAGTAAGGGAATCTGGCTTCTTTTTCTTCTTTCTTCTTTCCTCCCCGCCTCCTCCTCTTCTTGCTCTGAACCCAGAAAGCACTGAGCTCTTTTTACTTATTTTATTTTGGAATAGTGTCTTGCTAAGTTGCCAGGGCTGACCTTGAACTTGTGATTCTCCTGCCTCGGCCTCCTAGAGCACTGGGATGATGGATGTGTGCTGCCATGCTCAGCTAGTATCTGGCCTTAACCGGCCTGCCTGACCTTGTCTTCCCAGGAAGCTCTCTCAGGTCTGTTAACTGGATAGCCTCTTTCTACCATTGCAGTTTCAATTCCCAGTTCACAGACGTGAACATTTCTCTAGGCTGCCTTCGGTGAACGTTCCAGGGCAGATTGTGTTTGAAGAGCACTAACTTGTTCCTGGAAGGGGTGACAGACACCTGGAGGCACAGACTCTTGGCCTGGGGAGGTGATGGGGCCAGTTTGCTGGCCAGTGGAGAGGAGGGTACTAATAACTGAGCTGGGGAGCCCCATTTACAGGCCTCTGCAGTGGAGAGTCTTCTGGGGAAAGGCCAGTTCTGCAGAGTTGAGAAAGTCTGCAGGCACTTTGGACCCCACTGAGTACTCCTGCAAGCTGTCCCCGAGGTGGTGGGCATCCCAGTTTTATAGGTGGACTGTGTGGCTGGCCATAAACGTCAGGGACCCTTGGTGCTCTGGGCCCTGTGGCTCTCTGTGACTGCATGTTTGCTGAGTGAGTTTGATCACTCCTGAAGTGTGCCTGCAGGGAGAGACAGTAAGAACAGCTGCCCATGGGTCTTAGGATTGCTCTGCTGTCCCGTCTCCAGGTTCTCTCCGCCTGTGTTTGCACGCACGCACGCACGCACCTCTTAGGCCACATGAGTCTTTTTGCTTTTATATTGCATAGCTTGGTCAAATATTTGAATAGTTTGTCATTTGGTTTCATTCTATATTAGGATGATTATATTTTAGATTTTCTAAGGTTTTACAGTATGATTTACCTTATAAAGTTCATTTTAAATTTAGAGCATTATACTGATATAGTGACAAAAGTATGAAGCCAGAGTATACTATGTCCATGGACCTCTTTAAAGTTGCCCTGATACTGTACAGCCTATTTATTTAGCAGTGAACAAAAATAGAATGAACTTTAAGGTAAATTTACTATTTTACCTCATTTTCTATGGGTTAACAGTTCTTTATTGGCATAAAGTATTGTGAATACTATTAAAGCATTTTGGAATGAAAATATTTAGTCTACATTTCAGGGCTCGATTTTATTCTTTATTCTCTTATTTGGTAAGTATTTACTAATCTTGGGATCGAAAATACTTTTTCTGAATGAACTGGAAAGAATATAAATTGCAGAGTACATCGAAATCAAAGTTTGAGAAGGGTGAAATTCTGAAGGAGTAGAGCACTTGTGTGAGTTTTCCAGTGTTGCTTGGTGTTGGCTGTCACTGTCATGAGACTGTGTACAAACAATTGTAGGAAGTTATTTTCAAGGTGCTGTAATTAAGTCAGCCTGTCTTTTGAATAGTTGTTTGCCTCTAACTTCCTCTGTCAACTTAGAAAATAGTTTCCAAACATTTCAAAAAGCTTTGAACAGAGTTATTCGTCAGTGTTTAATAGGTGAGTC